TCTTAGAGGTCTGTTGCTCCTTTAAGCGAGCTAATATTTACTGTATAAATAAAAGAAACATTTCTTGGAAAACTCGAGAAAATTGACAAATGACCCACAACGGAAAACTCAGGAAAAAATCGACAAATGAAAATTCCAAGAAAATTATCAAAATCTCGGGAAGATTCTGGAAAAAGGACCGCGAGTGCTTTGCCAAAAAATTTCAATAAAACATACGGAAAAAAAAATCCGAAAAGAGAGGACCGCAAGCACTCGGGTCGGGGCTAGGCTCAAATATAATATATTTGTACTCGAGGGATGTCGAAGACTACTATTGGTCACCCGGATGTATAGAACCCGCCACTTAACTAGTAGGGTGTCATACTAAACCTAACTTAGGAGGGTACTCCTTAGCCCGATACTGGTAATCAACAAGTGGACAATGAAATTGTAATATATTTAAAAATTTATATTTTAGCATGCATTAGCATGCACGTGTTTTAGCATGCACGTGGATTCTAGGCATATAAAAAGTTGTATCACTTTTGTAGTAAAATATTTTTTTATAAATATTTTATATGTTCTTATCAGTTTTGAAAAAAATTATGATTGCCCACGAGTTGATTACGCCGTCGGGCGTAAGACCGCCAACAACCTAAGAAGGTACGGGTCCCCCGCTAGTCTTGTGTCGGTGAATGATATCGTCATTCTATAGTTTATCAGATCCTAAGATTGAGTTCTGATATCGTATGATGGAATTTCATTATGCTCTATCTTCGGTGTGTCTTAGTCATCATTACCCTAAGCCCCAAAACAAAACCGATCTACTTGCGACCTTGCTTGATGGTTTCATATATAACAAAAGACTATATATGAGCACTTATGTGTCAGACATAAGCATTGAAAACTGAACTGAGAAGCAAGGAAAAAAAAGAATGAAAATGGGGATGAGAGAGATGAACCGATCCACCTAAAAGATCGAAAGGATGAAGGGTGGAGCAAACCTCAAAACTGTGACAAAAAGAGAGTCCAAGATCCTTGAATCAATCCAAGAAGGATATCATTTTCTCTAATTTTATAAATGGATCAACCCAAAAAGGGTATCTCTTCCAAATTTTGTTTCAAACAGGTCGAAACGGGCCCAAAACTAATGTAACAATTGTATTCACGGTTCCAACACCTATATGTACTCACACACCCCAGCCTGAACCGAAATGTGGCATTTATGTTATCCAAATTTTAAAGTTGATTCTCCGAACACTTTTCCAAATGACAATTTTATAAGCTTTCAAACCCTTTATGAATCCGTTTCATATCAACTTTATGATTTCTCAAAATAAAGCTGTAAAAGTCTTTCATATTTCACAAAATAAATGAGAATAATCCATAGGGGGGCAACCTTCTAGCCTTCCAAAAAATCATGCCAAAATCAAAATCATTTAATTACAACCTTCATTAAAAAAAAACTTTTCATATCATATAAACATGAAATTATCTAGATAAAATCATATAAATGCTCATAACCAGGGGCAACTGAGAGGGACAACCACCAGCCCAACTTATCTCACGATGAGATCACAAGGTAAGGCTCACGGGTAAGGGCAGCAAGAGGAAGATCACAAGGGCAGTAAACACAAGGTAAGGCTCACGGCCAAGGCAGCAAGATGGAGACCACCACCATTTAAGCTCATGGGTAGGGCCAAGAAGGAGAAAGCCACCACAGAATAAACCCACGGGTAAGGGCAGCAAGAGGAAGACTACAAGGTCAGTAAACACAAGGTAAGACTCACGGCCAAGGCAGCAGGAAGGAGACCGCCACCAATTAAGATCATAAGCGCATGGGTGGGGACGACAAAAGGACAACCCACATCTCAAACTCACGGGTAGGGGCAGCAAAAGGAAGACCGCCACAACATTATTATTATGCCCTTTTAATACACATATGAGAGTGAAAGGACAAGCTACCATAAACCATCCAGACCGAAGTCATTTTCATCAAGGAAGACATAGTAATGAATTGATCAGCTTATTTCAAACATCCCCATATAGAAGTAGATATTGAAATCATGAATTTTGGGATGACAAACTTGATTACCAATAAAAATCTCAGGAGGAATGTTATATGAGGAGCTTCCAACCAAACCAAGCCCAACAGGGGGCTAAATCGAGCCCACCAAAGGGGTTGAAACAGAAAGGAATTCCAGCCAAAACACAATCCCAAAATGAGCCAAACCGAGCCCACCAAAGGAGCAAACCGAGTTCAATACAAGGGCAAAACGAGCCCAACACAGGGGTAAACCGAGCCTAGCAAGAAGGGCAAGACAAAGATCCAAAACAGGCACATCTGTGCTCAACAAAGAGGCAAAACAAACTAATTGTAACAGGTAAACGTGAGCCTAACAGAGGAGCAAGAACAAAAAGAATACCTCCAGCTATAATTCAATTCCAAAAGAGCCAGAATCAGACCCAACTAAATGGTAGAACAGAAAAAAAAAAAACTTCTGACATTTATTTATTCCAAAAGAACCAAAACCTAGTCCCAGTAGATGGGTCAAGGCAGTTTCCAGCATGAATCCATTCCAACAAGATCAAAACCGAACCCAACAAAATGGGAAAACAAAGTATAATTTCCAGCCTTTATTCATTCCAAAAGAACTAAAACCGAATCCCAGCAGATAGGTCAAGACAGGTTCCAACATGAATCCATTCCAAAAAGATCAAAATTGAACCCAACAAATGGTTCAAAACAGGGCTATCAAAATCAAGTCTCTTGAAGCCTTATATTTCAAAGTATTGCATCCAGTAGATGTTCCAAATAGTAACAAGTAACAGGAAATGAATAAGCATAAACGAATTCCTAATGTCAACATAATATCCAGTATTGAAACTAATTCTAATATCCACTTGGATAAATATATATAAAAGAAAAGCTCCAACCTTGCATTTTTCTTCCTAGCATGCATTTCATAGGATAACAAGTAAAACTTTTCAAAAAGAAATCTTATTCATCATGTATCTTGAGCAGAAAAAGAAAAGAAGATAGCTATATTATGCTACATTTTAATGTTTCCAGGGACTATTCATGCTTAAATTTCAAAACAAGCCCAAAACTTACTTCTACATGCTTTAGAAGAGAAAAGAAATTATTTTAGATGCTATTTCCATCTGAAATGGTGTAGATTAGAGTAAAGAAGAGAAATACCTCTTAACACAGACTCAAAGCAAAACTGTAAGACTGATTCAAGAAAACACCTCCTACAGAAACCTTCCTCTTAAAAGCTTCGAGAAAAAGCAACCAACGAACACTTCTACACACAAAAACCTAGTCGAGAAGGAATTTTGGCTGAGTCTTCTCCTAAGAGCCTTAAACAACAACTAGCAAAACAATCTCAGTCTTCCTTTCCCTCTCAAAATTTTCAATAACCCAAAACAGTACTTTAGAAAGTTTTTTTATAGGTAGAGATGAGAGGGGGACATCCACCTATCAGCCTCACTGGTGGTCGAATCAAATAACGGGAGTGAATCGGCACCATAAAGGAGGAGAAAGTAAAACCTCGAGAAGAAGAAGGGTCGGCCGCCAGCCAAGCTCCCATGATTGGAGCGTTGAGAGGTAGAGCGGCCACTCAAGGAAGGAGAAGAGTCAAGAGAGAGGGAAATCGCCGCGTGGATCACTCGCGAGATCTAGGGTTCGCACGAGAACGGGGCGAGCCAAGCGGCTGGTCAAGCCGTGGGATCAAATGGGGGATGAGTATGTAGGTAAAGGGATAAATAGGGTTTAGAATTATAAATATTATTATAATTAGTATTATAAATATTAAATATTTAATATTACAGAAATAAAATTTGATTCGTACATTTTATTCGTGCGCCATAGCATAACAAAATGAATGTCCTTTTTAGGTAATTTTGACGTTCCGGACGAGTTGGCATGCTCCGTTTTGTCATCGGAGGTCGTTTTAGCGAATTCATTGATTTGCTTGCAATTTGCTCATGTCGAAAATAATTGCAATATGGGTGTCTTTTCTTGCGAAAGTTGATGTCCCGGACGCGTTGACGCAGTCCATTTTGTCGTCGGAGGTCGTCCGGAGATGTTCGCATTTTCACCAATCCTTTAAGTTCAATTTTAGTCTGATCTTGTGCAACTTAGTGAATTTTGTGTATTTTGTGTGTGTGATGATAAAGTTCTGAAGAGATTTTCCCAGGGCTTGAGATCCTATTGGGAACTTCTCCCTGAGTCTCCACATGATAGTTCTTAACCACTCGACCATACGAAGATGGCTTTGAGATCATTAATGTGGGACATCACAAGAAAAATAGGAAGTGGTTGGAATTTCTAAGGGGATGGATTCCAATACTAGTTTTCTAAGATAGTCAATAGGAACCCCTAGAGCTAGATTTTAGGATCCTAAGGAAAAGAGTAATGACCTCAAAGGCTCAAACTGAGGTCAACGCCATGATGGGCCATACTTCCTCTGAATTACATGGCCTATCTGATGTGGTAAACTCTCAAAAAGTGGAGCTAGCCTATGACATTAGGAACTTTATAAACTTCTTCATTTAAACTTCTTAAGAAGACCAGCTCTTCCTGCATATATAGCTTCGTTGTATTTTTCTGTTTTATATTGATGTTTGAACTTGATAATTTAATCTCTTATCATCGAGAAAATAATATGCTTAGTTTCCCGAGAGTGCGTTTTTTCTGTAATATAAATTGATCAGCCATTATCTTAAGGAAAACTCAGAGGTCATGGTTTTTACTCTGATAATGAGGGATGCTATTTCATTATTGTTTTCTTTTTTTAGCTTTTCTCCTTTCTCATTCATCTTGCATTTATTTTTTTGTTTTCCCGTCTTGAGGTTGCAGTAGGATCATAAATGACCTATGGAATTACTGTTCTTTTCCGCGAGAAAACCTTGACATGAACTTAGATATCAAACTTAAGGAAAACAGCCAAAATGCTCTGCTTTTGATATATTTCTCTTACCTAATCTTTGCATGTCATGATTATGTTTTCATACAGAACTTCCGCCTGGCGCTAAATTAGTTTTGGATTGTGAAGCAGCAGATATTTTGCAAGGGATTCAGGAACATTTGGATTCATTAAAGGATCCAAAGATCAAAATACCTGAGTATTAATTCATGTTCTTTATCTCTTTCCATGGCTTGCACCCTTATGTTTTAGTCATCTTTAGCTTTTACTTTCTGCTTGTCTATTTTATGGGAAATTTACATACCTAGCACACAATTATTATGCATTTACTTATCTCACACCTGAACTTTCATATTTATATACATAGCATTTTGGTGCTTTACTTTGTTTGAAAAATGTATTTCACTTTTAAAACGTGTTAATAGTGCTAATCTTTTATGTAATATTAAATATTTGAGAGCTAGTTGTGTAAATATGAAATTTGGGTTTGAGATATGCATATAGATTAGAATTGTGTGATATGTATGTGATGCCCCCTTTTTTTATTCTTATAGGTCTTTTGGCAAGACGATGCAGTACTTGAAAGATGCTGTGCATTATACTGATGTAAAGTCTGTTAGACATGCCTTGGAGTATCCTTGATTCTGCTTTCATCCCAATTCAGTTGATTTAGTTAAAAGCAGTTATTTGTTTTATTGCATTTAATTTCGACGTTTTCGCGTGTATCACTCCATGACTCAAATGTTTTAGAAGTCTCAAAAAACACGGGGCCACTGATGGGGAGGTTTGGAGTCGAACTTTTCTTGTGTGATATTTGCAGCATAAAATTTGAAATGCCAAAATAGTCCCCTAAATGTTTAAATGGGCCATTTTAGTTCCAAAGACCATAAAACTGTCAAATTAGTCCCCCTACTTTTTAAATTGAGATTATTTCAGCATATAATAAAAGACTATGGAGACCAAATTTACACTTTATAGACTTTGGGACTAAAATGACTCCTTACAAAGAGTCCAAGGGATTATTTTGACACCTCTCATAAAATTTATGAATTAACTTGCTCTTGGTATAGATATGTATGATTGCAAATGCTGGTCCAGATACTTGTGAGGAGGCTTATGGACTAATACCATCCTTGAAGGTACAAGCATCTCCATATATTTTTAAGCTTGTATGGCTTTAAAAATTTTACATATTCAAGTCAGAATCATGTAAGCTGCTCATAAGTTATGAAGCTAATTTAGTTTTATCTGTTGCTTTTATTAATTAACAAGCAAGCTAGCAGTCTATTGAAATGTTTTTCAAACATATTGCCATCATCGCTGTTAATTGTCATGTACTCTTACGCTATTTTGTATGTTCTGTTTATACATATTCAAGTCAGAATCATGTAAGCTGCTCATAAGTTATGGAGCTAATTTAGTTTTATCTGTTGCTTTTATTAATTAACAAGCAAGCTAACAGTCTATTGAAATGTTTTCCAAACATATTTTGCTATCATAGCTGTTAATTGTCCTGTACTCTTACGCTCTTTTGTATGTTTATTCTCATGGAAGCAGCTGTAAGATGGGGGGCCAAATTAGTCCTCTCTAGGGATTATTTTAGCCCATACTAAAAGAGTCTAGGGACTATTTTGACACTTTTATAGACTTTGGGACTAAAATGACTCGTGTAAATAGTCAGGGGACTATTTTGACACTACTCCTTTGTAAAGCATAGGAGTAGAAGCACAAATTTAGTAAACTTCACAAATAAATCATAATGACGAACTTTAGATGCTACTTATATTGTATGTAGATGTCAGTTTCTTATCAAATCTAGTGATTTCGAGTGTATAGGGGAAGGAATCAGAAGATCCAAGCACTAATGAGGGACATTTCTTCAGTTTGGTGTTTTTTTTTTCATTTCAGTTAATTGATGTTGTAGGGTGGCAATGCTTTTAAATATGGTTTTGAAGATTTTAATTACTTGGTTTGTGTTGTGTTGTCATGCTATCACACATGTTTTTTATGCATTATTTTGTATGTTGCACGAGTTCAGGTATTTTTTCTCTAATTCAGTCAAACAGTTTATCTTATGAGATCTCACCAGGGGCAAGGGTTTGGGTTAACTTCAGATCTTTTTTTTTAATATATTTTATTGAGGGTTTTCAATGGTCTAAGCTATTATCCACCTTTTATATTTTAATGCCTCACAATTTTCTTTTACTTTTGACACCGAAAGAAAGTATAGAAAGTTTATAAGATTACTTGCAAAGACTGCTTATATTGTGGTGGAGTTCCATATTCCACTAAACTCTCCTTCCCTCCCATCTTCTTCGGGAAACGAAGGAACCCATAAAACTTTTTAAGTGCCAATATAGTCCCTTGACTATTTATATGGGATCATTTTAGGCTGGTGTCTCTTGCTCGGTAGCTGAAACATGAAGACCGGCTCGTGAGCGGGGGAAGCGCAGCTCGCTTGGACCAATTCGATCCATTCTTTCTTGTGTTGTGGAGTGGTCACTGGCCCGTGGCCCCACACATATATATTCTATTATTATATATGTGCATTTCGGGGAGTGCAAATTTAGTTTTTGGTGTGAGTTTGTTTAGGACAGCCACTAGCGTCGGTTTTCTCCTTTCGAGAGCTATATCTGAGGGTTTGGCTATTACTCTGGCTTTATCTCTCTCTCAAGATGGTGATTATCTTTTCTATCTCCTTCCTTGTCCTCGCCACCTTTCTCCCGATCGCAGTATCTTGCTGCAGCTGCCCACAGGAACATTTTGATTGCTATTTTTTTTTGCAATTTTAGCCGCTGTCATGGCCTTCCCTTTCCTTATCTTTGTTGTCATCGCAGTTTCAACTCTCCACCTTCATTGTTGTCACTATTCTCTCCCTCACCTCGCTATTTCGACTGTTGTGCAACCATTTGTATCACTGTCGTCTTCCAGAAAACAACACACCTATGATTTTCTTGTTGTCCCGCTGGCACCCCCCCTCCTTTCCCTTCTGCGAAACCCGCTCCAGTCGCTGTCATACTTCATCCCAATGCCTCAGACAACCGCCCACTACTATTTCTACCTTCCTAGCTGCCTTGCTCCTCCTCTTCCCCCTTTCTTGCCAACCGCCCTTTTCGACCACCTCCAACCTCCCCCCTCCCAAACCCTCAACGACCACCACCACCTCCCCTTGGGATACATTTCTAGTTGCATTGTGTCACATCTATTGCTATTCCTATTTTCACTCATGTGATTGTATTTCTCTAATTTTGAATTCATAAATAATATTTAGTTTTCATATCATTGTTTGGGTTAACTCCAGTATCACTCAAAGTCTATAAATTGTCAAATTAGTTCTCAGAATCTTTTAATATGGGTTAAAATAGTGCCCGAGTAGATTATTTTAGCCCCCATTTAGAAATCTGGGGACTAAATTGATAGTTTTATAAACTCGAGGACTAAATTAACTCCTGATAAAAAGTTAGGGGACCATTTTGACAACTTTCTACTTTTTATTTACATCAGAACTTGATTTCATTTGTTATTTGCCTTATTTTTTTGAGTAGTTTTTCAATTTGTAGTCAACTCGATCGTCATTCCTGCCTGCTGTTGTCTTGAACTTGATCTAAAATAATGCTTTTCTCTCAGCATGGTAAGTTTTCATATGTATGTAGTGTAATCCCAAAGCTGTGTCGGCTCGGTGAGTTTGGAACTACCAAAGCAGGAATTGACGGTCGGATGGAGGATACATAACAACCCGTTTCATTGCATCACAAAAAAAATAAAAATTTAAAACACAAAAGAGCCATTATAATTCATACAACTTATATTCACAATAGATTGTTCATACTTAAATATTTACATTTAGATAGAAGATAAACTAAACTACAATACTTATCAACTGACGCTTCACGATGCCTGTAAACGTGCTCCCTGTGATCCATCTAATAAACAATTATTTTTCCTGTAAAAATATTAACAACTATGGTTTGAGCTAAAACTACTCAGTGGGTCAATGTTTCTAAATTACAATAATTTTAATTTTAAAAATATTTTTATAAAAATGCAATAGCAGTAAAAGCTGTGCAGTGAAAGAGAGCAATTAAGAAAACAAATTTCATTTTCTTTTATTTATTTAGATTACATTTTTCATAATTCGAAGTCACTGTCTAAACTTATACTTTAAAAAAATATACGTTTAAAATTTTCCAACTCACCATAAAGGCAAACAATCTTTTTTATTTCCATTTTCATTTTCATTTTCATTTCATGCATGGGTACAATACATACCCTTGTTAGTATCATCCAGGGGTGACTCCTATATGTATGCATATAACATATTTTATCCATTTTTTTCTTGCATTTAACATTTAAAAGGAAACATGAACTTTTGTATTTTTTTCTTTTTAAATAAAAGCTAAGAAAAGAGTAACATTATGTGTAAATAAACAAAATTATTGTAAAATAAAAGCATATTACGCACATCAACCGTGTCGTCTAATATTCTTTTCCTCAGGTCAGTCTAGCTCTTAGGTACACCTATTTTAACAATTTAAATGAACTCCTTATTCAGTGTTAATCTTCTATCTTATTAATTCTAAATTCTCTTGACTATATATATATATATATATATGTATAGACATATCCAAATTATGACTTATGTTAAAACTTCTAACATTTTTCTTTTTTTTTTGCATACCTAACATAATAACAATTTAATTATAAGTAAATTTTAAATTTAAGATCCTTAATTTCATTATAACATGACTTAATAAGAAAATAATAATTCATTATTGAGATCGAGTTTATATCTGAATTTGGCTTCTCCTCTTTTCTACCTCAACTTCGACAAAACCTTAAAGTTGTAAGTGTCAACATTAGGATTTTCTTTTCATGACTTAATTTAAATTACTTAACATTAATAACTAAATAATTTAAATTAAAATAACACTAATTAAATTAAATTCTTACCTTTTATTCCCTGTCTTGCCCTAAAAGCCGAATCAAGCCAAGTAAGGGTTCAATTGAACCATTCAGACAAACTGAACTCTCCCCTCGCACGCAGATGAATCCCGCAATCCCTTTTTCTTCCCTAAGCTCTCGATCGAGCTTTAAACCGACCGCTCGAGTCCCCTTTCTCCTCCTCATTCCTCTGCAAGCCACACAAGTTGGACAACCTGCCTCCTTTCTCGGCAAGTCGCACGACAGGGAGAACCCACTGCCTCCTTCCTTTTCCAGCTCTCAATCGAGCTTCTAATAAGCCGCACAAGCTCTCCTTCCTCTTTTGCGGCTTGGTTAGGGAAAAATGCCGCACGAGCTCCCTCCTATCTCTTTAGCTCAATTATAGTTAACCTCCTCCTCCTCCTTATCCCTCTATTGTGGCTTCTTCTTCTTCCTCTACCTCACTCTCTTGCTCCCCCTGTCTGACTCGCACTCTCTTGCAATGGGTTCAATTGAAAGGAGACGAACTTCCCCTTGTTCTTAACTCCTTATTGGTGGCGGAATTTTCGCTTGAACAACACATGCACAGTGTTGTTACCAACTAAGCTTCAACTTTTTTAACTTTTTTTAAATTGATTTTTTTTAATTTTTATTATTACAATATTTCCTCTTTATAAAAATTGTCCTAGAAATTTAATGTACACGAATATATCTCTTACCTTAATTGAAAAGGTGTGGATATTTTTCTCTTATTTTTGATTCCTTCTCCCATCTTCCATATAGCATCATTTTTAGTCCCGTGCTTCCATAGTTCACGAACATAAGGAATCTCTCTACTCCTGAACTGCTTCACATTATAATATATGATTATTTCTGGCACATCCACAAATATCAGGTAAGTTGAATATCAATAAGATCAGTGACAAGTTTGCTAGCCTCATCAACAATATATTTCGAAGCAAGAATATATGAAACACATTATGTACCCTATACATGTATTGTTGGTAGTGTTAGCCTGAATGCCACTTTCCCAATCCTCTTCATGATTTTGATAAGGATCAGCATATCGTGGACTCAACTTTCCAAACTTTCCAAACCGCTTAATACCCTTCATCGGGCTGAGCTTAAAAAAAATAAATTCCTTCACTTTAAATTCTACAGGTATATGTTTAGCATCATTATACTTTCTCTGTCTAGCTTGGATTGCTCTTAGTTTGTC